ACAGGAACTCATGGCTGTGGTGCCATCAGAAATTCAGAACACAATACCATATTCTCAGGGATGCTGGGTTAAGAAGTTCGGGAAGTGTGTCTGGACTACATCTCGTAAATGCCCTGCTTTGCATGTGTTCACATTCACCCCTCCCACTCAATATTTATCTTATAGTTTCAAAACAGTAACAGTAGACAAGCTTCAGCTCCACAGGTTGCTATAATAAATCTCGACTTGAAAAAAAAAAGAAAAATGAGAGTTCGAATATTGGGGGTCACATAACTTAACACAGCTCTATCTGGCAAATGACAAAGCTTATGTCATGTCATCAGTAGAACCACAAGTTCAACCCTTTCTCTATCTAGGCTGTCACAGGGCAAAATAATTCATTCATTCTGAGGCTACTCCACAGACGTGGATGCTCCTAGTTTCCAATATTGCCTACGTGAAACGACACGTAAACGTGTTTAATGAGTGGAAATATTTTTCTCCAGGAAGTATCTTCTTTTTGCTCTAAGATTAATGACCATTCTAAGCACAATTATTCATAGCTTTCTATAGGAAGGACGTTACAAAGGATTTTTGAAAGCAAGTTTTCTAACCACTATCCTAGTGTCTGCCACGATTTCCAAACAAACCAAAACCAGGCATTCTGGAAAATGTTAGGAGCTACGATACAGAAGGAAAAAAGCGTGCCCACCCATGCAGCTGCCATTCCCGTCTCCTGCTTTCATTACAGCCCCTCACACTGCCTCCAAGTGCAGTATCTGTTCACTTGGTTATTACCAGTCTCCACCCACCAGGCTGCAGGTAGGGAGGCAGGTGACCACAGATGGCTCTGCAGCCCGACGGCCTGGGCACTGGCCTTCCCAGCACCTAGATCCCGGGTGGCCCCTGAAGCGCTCAGTGCATACCTGGTGAATAACTGAGTTTCGCCTCAAGGTTAGAGGTCACTTAGACTCTAACTGGCACACTCTCAGTTTGGGAGCTCCCAGCTTGCTATTTTGTTCTCTGTTCACACTTCTCCCCTCCCCTTAAAAAAAAAAAAAAAAGAAGAAGCAGAGCTTAATATTGACGTGCACAAGCACAACAAAAGGCCAATTTAATTACGATGCAGGTAACACCTAGGGTTAGGCAATGGCCGGAGGCTGCAGAGGCCTCCAGCTCGGTGCAGGTGAAGAGGCTCCGGCACTCCCTGCCCAGACAGGGCCTGTGCTGCTGAAGCTCACTGCTGAGTTTGCGGTCTCGTCCCTAAACTGGTTATTGCTAAACTAAGATGCTGACTTTGTCATCAAAGCTTTCCATCCTGTGTCATGCTCAAAATCGAATTTTAATGGCAATACCCCTGCAGAAGGATGATGCGTGATCTCTTGGGACTCACAGTTCCACGCTGGTGACGGGGCCCTCATTCTGTCTTTTCTTTCTCTCTCTCCCTCCCTGACTTGCATACCTTCCAGCTTACTTAATCTTCCTACCGTTAAATTCTTTATTTTGTTCAGAAAGAGTTCCACTGGCACACACACACACACACACACAAGAGAAACCTCTCGATCTCTGGTGTGTGGCCTCCCATGAAAGAATAAAGAATTGAAGAGAAAATTAATTTTTTAAAACCAGCTAACAAAATTAGGGGACATATTTTTCCCAGTCTGATTAATCTTAGAAATCAATTCTTAATTGTCTATGATTGCTGCTCTAAGTCCAATGCTTAAGGCCTGTTAAAGTATATATTTACAAATAAAATTAATCGAGTGAAAACAAGGATAAAAGAAGGAAAAAGACATTCAAGTTAATGTTAGTGCAACAAAAACTGCCAGGTGTAGGGGAAAAAGAGGTAGTCTTCAGTTCCTAACACAAAGATACTTAATAAATATTTTGTAACTGATGGACTAAAAAGTTAAGGAGAAGAGAAATTATTTTAAAGTAATAAACAAGGCATTGCAAGGGTCTTAAAGAGCCTTGTCAATGAGCTACATAGTCACACAAATATAACACCAGATAGGAAATCACTCACTGATGAAACTAAATACAACTACGCCCCTGAGAACCTCAACACCACAGGGCAGGAAAGAAAGTGGAATATATTTAAAGGTCTTGAAGCCTGCCACACCACTTTCTTCAACAAAACTAGAGGCTTCCTTGAGTCTCAAAGCTTGTCTACTTAGCATGGCAGATCTTAGCCAAAATAAACTCGTCAGCCCTATTAATGGAGCTGAAGGTTCAAACCCCTACACTGGCAAATGCTCCTGAAAATCACAGCCCCAGGACTCCACAGGGCCTTGGCTCAAGAATCTATGACTAAATGCCCTCCGTAAGGTGACGGGGTTTCCAGCCACTGACCTGAGTCAGAAGTGGTTTATGATCGCATGTGACCCTCTGCTGCAGCCGAATGGGCAACAGTGAGGGGAGCACGACCACTTACTTTATTGCAAGGGGTGCTTTTTTATGTATTTCTATTAAACTCCATTTACCCCACTTAAATCTATCGTCTCTGTGTTTCCACTTCGTCTGAAGTGACACTGTAAACTACTTCTGGGAGGTGATGATATGTCACACGTCTCATGTGCTGTTCCAAAAATTTCCAGAGTCTTCTACTCTCTAAGAGAAGAAAATTGATCCTTTGTTTTCAGGGATGATGTCAATCACAAGCTGGTATTTTAACCTTTCTTCCAGTAACTACTTCTAAGATGAATAAATAGCTCACATATGTCTCAGCTGAGAGAGTACAGCTCATAGTTCAAGATCTCGTGATTATTTTAGCTGATCCAGTTCTGGTGACAACAGCAAGGCAGAGGGGATTTTCTTGAGATCTAGACCTCAGGCCTTTAGAGGAGTCACAAACAAAGCCTCTTTTGATTTCGGGAGAGCAGCTGGGGGTCTCACACAAGTCCCGGCCAGTCACACAAGTCCTGGCCAGTGGGCAGGATCGCATAGGAAAGCTGCCTACCTGTGCCCCTGCCTCCCTGGGTACCAAGAAAACCAGGCCAAGCACGGAGAGAGCACAAATATTTACTGTGGGTGAAAGTGTGCCAGGTGACCCTCGGTGGAATTCTGAGCCATTAAGAGCATAGTTGAGAGAGATTTTGAAAACACCTGAGAGCACGTGCTTCTGCCATCACCCCGAGGTGAATGACCTCAGAAACCTGAGTTCGGAGCTGAGAGATTAGTAGGCAGGCTTCAGGCCAACTCGTAGAATGGAAAGTCTTCTACATTGTTAGCACAATAAATCATCATGGACTCAGATTGCAAAGGTGGGAAACCACCAGGAAGAACAGATTTCTGCCAAGGCAAAAGAAATGATACGTAAATGACTTCACCTGAAATTGATTTGGACAAACCCTAAGACCTACAGACTGATGGAATGAAATACAAAAAAATTCCAAACGACCTTCCCACTCCAACACAACCATCATAACCACAAAAGCCTCTGTTTTAGTAACAGCTTCGAAGATGCTGCCAATAAGTACACAGGACTCCCTGCCATCACTACACCCACCAAACAAACCAATTTAGAATAAAAATTTTATACCCCTCAACTAGCTAATTCCTATCATTCTGTTTTTGCCTTCACTGTATATCTTTTTGTTGTACTCTACAGCGACAAGAAAATGTCTTAAATGTGTTATTTTAAATCGACATTTAGGTGCAATACAAGACTCCAAAAAAAAAAAACCTTTTTAATTAAAAAACATAATATCTGTGAGCATCATTCTGATTCCTTTCCTCCTGTCTAATTAAATAGAAAGCATTTTTTTTCCCCTCTTGATTTTACCATTTTACTCAAATTCCCATGGGAATTTAAATTCATTTTGCCCTTAAAAAAAAAAAGCACTACCACATAAATTCTTTAAATTCCCTCTTCTTTTATAATTGTTTCCTTTTTTGGGGCGGGGGGGATTGGCACACTCTAACTCAAACACACGTAAACAATACACTTCTCGATGTCAATAAAATACCTTATTCAATAGCTCAGATTTGACTACAGGCCTTGCTACTTCACATCACCGATACATTTTTATTTCCTTAGATTCCATTCATCTTAAACCACGTTTAACATTAGCAGTACTGTTTTGAAAGTAACCTGGCTCATTAATATAAAGGTGTGGCCTGCACTCCGGTTTATTTCAGGGTTGGACAACATACAGACGTATACTAACTAGTGAACTAACAGTTTATGAATCACCATCAAATGAGACAGTAAAGAAACAAAAATCACGTGTTAATCATAAAGTATATTCATATGTCTGAGTAGTAAGGGTGGGAAAATGACAGCGAAACCCAAAGAAAAATGCGGTTGAATATGCTCCGGGTGTTAATTTTTGTTCTCTCAAACTCACAACAAACAACAAATGCATTTACAATAAAACATGTCAGCTAAATACCGAAGAGAAGAAAGACGACCACTGCCAACCAAAAATTCAGACATAAACCATAAATCATTATCCAAGCAAACCACTTCATAATCTCAGGTGTTATTTCATTTGAGGCCCAGTATAGCTGGTCCCTCCCTCTTTTCCAGTGAGATTTCTAAGTCAGAAATACTCATAGAAAAGACAGACCCAAAACAGAACAGGAAGAAAAACATAATTGTTTCCTCCCAAACTGGTGATTTCTAAATCAGAGAACGACACTCATAGAACTAAAGTGGTCTACGTTTTTCATGATTTCAGAAAGAAAAAAATCCATTGTGCATTCATTTTTGGAGTAAAAAGTGTACACGTTTCTGAACGATCAAGACAGACATGAGAAGCAAAGAACAGAGAAGCAGGAGAGTGCAGATGAGAGTTCCTTTCAAGTCTCATTCATCACAACCATCCCACCTATGCATAAACAGGACAAAAGTGATCAACTACAGCTAACTCTGAACGCCAAAACAAAGTAATTTATAAAGGAAAATCTTGGTATGAGCTAGGATGATGCCACCCATATAAAAACAGTTCTACACCAAAATCCAACAGTAGATATTACACATTCATATAATAAACGTACAATGGCGTCTTTGTTCTTACCTATAATTGTCCTCGAGGCTTACGGAAGACAAGCCACGTCCCCCGCCGAGAAGCGTCTGGGTGGGCTAATCTGACTCAAACACAGCTGGAAATCTGCCTTGATGACCCTCAGGCTCCTGGCCTCGTCTTCTCCCTCCCTGCGTTGAAACGCTGCCTGCACACACCTCTGCCGGTACTCGGGAACCAGCAAGTTTTAGCACAACTGAGGAGGAATGCACCGAGCTGCCTACTTATACTGATGATTCACTTCAATGACAGCTAGAAAGAAATGCTCGTTGGTGGAAAAGGGTTGAGTCAAGCTCCACCCCTACCGTAAGATTAAGTAACTCCGCCCAGCTCAGCAGGCAGCTGAAAGAGCCACACCTGTGAAAACGCTGTTACCTGCAGCATCGCTTCTCCAAGAGACAGCTCTCGATAGGTAGGAAGATGAACCGAGGACATCCCTAACAGGATAGGCAACATCCAGATGCTTGGGTTTTGTGAGTAACTAACTTGGGCTGTGCTGTTTGCTTATTTAGAGCTGTATCCACGTTTTCTGGGCAGACAGGCATTGAGGTCTGTCCTTCGCAAGGAACCCAGCTTCTTCAGTTCCTGCATTCAAGGCCCCACACGAGACTGGCTGGACAACACAACCTGCTGGTCCTCGAAGAGCTTAAAGTTTTGAAGGGGGAAAAAGGCTGGAAGAAAGATTAAGTATGATACAAACTTCAGCACCAAACAGAACTGACAGGCAGGATTTGGTGTTACGTGAGAGATGGCACCACTCTATAAATTCACCATCTCTGGCGTGAAGCCACTTTCAGATGAACCAGGTAGGTGCCCTTAGGCTTGATCAGTGGCACTGAGTCCCGTTTGAGGCACAGTTTACCAACCTGATCACCTTTTACTCAACTCTCGAAACCATGTAGAAGATGTGCTCTGCCTCTGGCTTGTCACTGGCACTAAGCTACTTCGTGGAAGCAAGTCAAACCCCACTGAGCAATCCCAGCAGGAGAGGCTCAAACAGGAAGTGTTCCACTAGTAGCAAAAGGCTCCAGTTCTCTATTAACTCAAATTTGGTGGCGTGCTCCCTTGTGTGTTCCTGGCAAGTCAGCTGACCAGCTCTAAACTAGACTTTCGAGTTCCCACAGGTGCTCAAGGCTGGGATTCCCAGAGACTCTGAGATAATAAAACAGATCAACAGGGTGGCCAGCAACCTCTGGCGGCTCGGAGGGTCTCGGAGGTCTTGGTGGAGAAAGTCAGCACTGGGTTACTACTAGAAGCCCTATCCCCAGATACACCCTTACAGACAGACAGGGTGACAGTTCCAACTATTTTCAGTAGAAATCTCAAAACAAGAAAAATACCCCAAGTTTTTAGGAGTCAGCAGGCAATGATACGCAAATGCTCAACAACCTAAATCTGAGCAGAAACTCCATCTTCTTTGATTATAAAATTAGGCTGTTTCACATTGACACATCGGCTGGAAGGTTAACACACACACGTGCACACACGTGCGCACACACACACACACACACAAAACACTATAAGAAAATATACCTAAACAAGCTAAATAGGTTATTTAATAATTTGCCTGTTCTCTTAAAGATAAAAGGTACCTAAGACTTCACATCTAATATTACCCAACTGTTATAGGCTGCACTGTGTCCCCCAGAATTCTTATGTTGAAGTCCGAACCCCTAGTACCTCAAAATGTGACTTTATTTGGAGATGGGGGCTTTAAAGAGGTCACTGAGTTAAAACGAGGTGACTGAGATGGGCTGTAATCCAGCAAGACGGTGTCCTTCTTAGAAGAGAAACTTTGGACACAGACAGTGGCAGAGAATGTAGAGACAGGGAGAGAATGGCCATCTGCAAACCAAGGAGAGAGGCCTCAGACAAAGCAACTCTACTGATACTCTGATCTCGGAATTCTAGCCTCCGGGACTGTGAGAAAATAAACCTCTGTTGTTTAAACTATCCAGCCTGTGGTACTTTGTTACAGCAACCCGAGCAAACTAACACTCTAATTAAATGACCATTTCATGCTAAATATTAATATAAAAATGAAGACGGAATTCAGATTTCTGATTAATAACCATTCTCCACAGCCAAACGTTTCACTTTACTAAGTTTACTCCCTCTCTCCTGTCCACTGAGTCTCGGCCTTAAAAAATGCAGAGAAAAACCTAATTCAGGAGGAAGAGAAGAAAGTCTATACTTACACTTTCCAACTCCAATTTTGCTGCCTCCATTCACAAACCAACTTACTGAGCAAGTGATGGACAACCACTTGTCACCTACATCCTTCTCCTCAACTCACAGAAATCAGATTCTGTAAAACCTCGACTAAAACGCAACTAAAGCTAGTCGACACCAATCTTACCACCGGATTTTTTTAAACGATGCAAATTTTAGGAGTTCAAGTCCCTCCATCTAGAGGAAATTAGGACCCAACCAAGCTGCCCCACAATCTAGGAAGACACGCTAGAGTATGTTCAACATGAAGAGTCCCAATCCAGGGTTAATGCCCCAAAAGGAAAAACTACCATCCCACAAAGCAGCGGAAGTGAAGAGACACCTGGGTAACGGAGGCACCGTGGCCGTGATCTGAGGGCAGGTCTAAAACAGGCTTTCTTAACCCGGGCTCTCTGGACAGTGGGGGCCACGTAATTCCTCATCGTAGGAGGCTGTTCTGTGCATTGTAGGATGTTAGCAGCATCTCTGCCTCTACCCCGTATGTCCCCAACTGAGGGCTGTTTTATGTTTGTTTCGCTTTTCCAAAGAAGTGGAAGACAAGGTCGTAGGCTGAGAGTGAGACGGGGATTAGAGACTGAAGAATGTCCACGTCTGGAAAACCGGGAGAGGAAAAGGGAGCAGAGCCAGGGCGAGTCACAGAGGGAGCAGCATGGAAGTCCGACGGAGAACGGTACCCTAAACTTAGAGTGGCCACAGCACGCACAAAACGGCGAGTCCCTTCCGCACGTCGGAGGGTCGGGAAGAATAGGTCTGGAGGCTGGTTGCATGAATGTAGCTAGAGCTCCTAAAGGGACAGGGACACAGGGGTGCCACAGGTGGGCTGCAGTTTCCAAGGCCACCGAGGTTAGCAGTGGTGCAGAGTAACCTAGAGTGAACTGAAACTAGAAAAAGGCAACCTGCTAGGAATCTGTGGCAATAAAGCATAGATGAAGAAAGTCTAAACAGCAGGGTATCACTGAGAGGAAGTGAAGAGTCTATAGACAATGTACAGGACGAAAAACAGCCATCCCCTCGACTTAATGCTCATCCAAGGAACCTTTCCTATGGAAATAATTGGGGGTATAGTCAAGTGATAAACCAAAAAGTTCGTTACAAAAACAAAACTGAAAAACTGTAAGCAAACTTCGTGACCGACCACAGAGAAAATAAACTCTAGATAACTATATGTTCATGTCCTCAAGGAACATTTTAAAATATGGGAAAACATTCACAATATGTTAAGAATTATAAGCTATAAAACTATATGTAACATAGCCCAATGTGAAACTTTTATGTATTTACATGTATACTTTTTTTTTTTTACCTTGTGAATCAATCTCATAGGGGCAACAGCAGACAGGATTAGATTTTCAAGGTAAAACAAACAAACAAACAAAAAACCAGAAAGAAATAAGAAAATGGGGTTAGAATCTTGGAGAAGAAGGCACAACAGAAAGGCTGTCAGAGAGGTAAAGAGGGGAAAACCAGGAGCCACGAGGGTCAAGGGTCAAGGGTCAAGGGCTAGGTAAAGGTTGGAGAGGAGCGTGCTCAGCAAATACAGGCCTCCGGATTCGACGAACAGGAAGTCGCCAGTGTCTTAAGTTTGCAACGCGGGCAGAATGCAGTTAGCGAAGGGAGTGTCAGGGATAGGAGCCTTTCCCGGAATCCCCACAACCCTTACGGACAAGGAAGGCCACAGAAGGCTCACCTAGGAATGGCCGGGGTAGATCTGGTCCTGACGGCTCACAGACAGCTGATGACCAGACGTCTGCCAAGAGGAAAGGCTTCCATTCTCACTTACCTCCCTTACCTTAATTAAATTTTTCAAAATAATGTTAAAAATTCACGGAGGTTCTTTAATTCGGTATTATTTACAATTAAATGTACATCTTTTTATGGCTCCTAGCACTTCTGACATATTACCTAAAAAATCTGCTCAATAATTGCTTACACTTAGGAAATTGGGATGGCTTGTTCAGTGGGATTTTATGAAATACACAAAGGATCGCATTGGATCAGTATGTTCCAACTGAAAAGAGAGGAACTGTATAAAAGGTAATTAAATTTTAAGTAAAAGATAATTAAATTTTAAGGAGTAAGAAAAGTGTGAAGGCTGACATCATTCAAAACAAGATCTTATTAAAAACACAAAATTTGAACTTCAAAGTGGTATTCCAAAGACTTTTCAGTGTTTGTATTTTGTTTGCTTCTGGTTTTAATCATAGGGGGATTTGTCAGTTATTGAGATCATCTTGAGATTTCTTTCCTTAAAAGTCATTGTGAATTTACCCATACTCTGCAGCCTTCGAAAAATCATTTTTCTAGAAATATTACAAGTTATCATAAAGTACTGGTTAAAAAGCATCATTCTAAACAATATTATTCCAAGTGCATTAACTATTTCTATATACATATAGCCAAAGGACTAGAAGGAAATAAAACAAAATAGTAACCAAGTCTCTCTCTCTGGCTATTCAGGTTATAAATGGATCACTGCTTTAAACTTTATCTTCTCCAATGTCTAATTATTTTATAATTTAAGAACATGATTTAAAAATTGCAAAGAATGTATTATCTGTTATTTTTTTAAAAAAACAAGTAACAAATGAAGAATCCAGATCCTAGGGGGGAAAAAACCCCAAGTTTCTGTTTTTTTCAAAACCAGCTACAGTAGAAGAGAAACTAGGACACTTGGAGGGGGAGGAATAAATTGAACAAAACAAGGATGACATGACACAGGCAAAAATCTTTACATAACACAGGCAAGGTTTGGTGATTATAGCACAAAGTCTTGAATTTCCTTACAAGGTCTTAAAACAAATCCTCCTAACATGGATTAATTAGCCTTTCTACAAAAAAAAAAGGACAACGTGTGGTTTACATGCCTCACAGGTTAAAAACACAATCAAGTCACTAGCGACTCCATCACAGCATCTGAAAACTGTCTCATCAAGAAGGGGAAAGGTCCCTTGAATCTTGAAACATCAGTCAGT